ATTGTGGGCCTCGTAATTGAAATAAATAATTGACCAAAATGATTGTTAATGATTATAACGTTGCTACCGTATCATTCCGGTAAAAAAAAATAAAATTCAACTCTGATAAAAATTTGTATAAAATTAATGTAAAAAAATAAAACCTTTTTTTTTTCTTCGTATAATTACTAAGATTCACAAATCTTTTAAAAAGAAAAGAAAAGAAAAGATTCACATATCACAAACCAAAGTTGAAAACCATTATAATCAACTAAAACTCATTAAATAATAATTAACAACATTCTAAAAACACACATAATTGGAAACATACTATATGAACACACAATAATATAAAAGTTTTTTTTTTGGGGGTCTTTCAAGCACATGAAATACCATTTAAATTCAAGCACATGAAATACCAATAGAAGTGGTGGTAGTGAACCGCACAGAGCTGACTTTCTTATCTGCCATCGACTTAAACTCTAGCGAAATTCTGCCGCCACTGCCACTCTCTGACACTTCTAGAATAGTTGAAAGCGGGCCTGACCCGTCAAAAACAGCAAAAAATGGGTCTTGCGATCCTGTTTTCGCTTGTTGAGGCTGAAAATGGATCGAAGAAGTTTGTGAAACGACCAAGAAAATTTTGAGGATTTTTTTGAAGATGGGTTGTGGTAGTTGTTGCGGCGGCAGAAGTGGTGGCGGGTGGTGGTGATCAAATAAGCGATGAATGGAGAGGGTTTTAGAAGAAATGGCGGAGTGAAGTTGGCGTTCGATGAATTTGAGCTCGAAAGAGTCGTTGAGCGAGCTCCCACAATCCATTACGAGAGAGATGTTGGGTTTGTGATTGTTTTGGGTTTATGATTGAAGAATTTTCTGATCCATTGTTCGTTTGTTTCTTGAGAAAAAAGAGAGATGTAGAGATGGTTATATATCTTTAGAGAGAGAGAGAGAGAGAGGAGAAGTTTCTTGGCTTTATAGAGAGAGAGAAAGAGGAAAAGTTTCTTGGCTTTACGAAAAAATTAACACCATACCATAACCAACCCACCCAAACATAAGGAAAAAATCACAACCAAAATAACACTCAAGGGTAAACAAGTAAACTCAACAATATACCATAAATAAAAGGACTAATTGGTTTGAAAGAAAACTTTCAAGATTAAATAGAACAACATTTTCCCAAATGAAATTTTTGGGTAATTTTTCCTAAATTAATATATGAAGATATTATAGTAATAACTAAAAATGATAAAAATATGATCTTTTTGTTTCATAGCTAAAATGTGTGTTCTTTTTATTTATTTTTTAATTAGATGCCAAACTCACCGCTATGATAATCGGGACTCTAAATTTTGTTTAAGAAAAAAATACTCAAAGAATTTTATTTCTTAAAGTACAAAAAGTCAAAATTTTCATCTTTATTAGACATTTTAAAATTTTATTTTTACTTTTTTTCATTTTTCTAGTCAAGTGGAATGTAAAAGTATAATTTTTGTATGGATTTAAATGATTTTTTTTTATACTAAAAATCAAAAAAATACTAAAAAAATAAATCCGAAATACTCCCTTGGGCCTTGTTTGGTGCAGTTTATTATAGGTTAAAACTGATAATAAAAAAGTAAAATTCAACTTTTAGATAATCAACTTATTTAAACTATTTTCACCTAATAAGATATAAGTAAAATTTACACTAAACAATCTAACACACTTTTCAATTAAAATAAACCATCATTTAGGGTGTAACAAACACTCCTTAGCTGGCTGAAATAAATAGGGCCGAACCCAGCCAAAACCACGGCATTATAAGAACATTGCAGCTTTCATAAGTTTTATTTTTATTTTTATTTTTATTTTTTTGGAGTAGCTTTCATATGGCTAACATAATAACAATAATAAATATTTAATGAGAGAAATGGTTGGTCCATAATACTAACCTTTAAGTTCACGCAAGTTTATCAAAAACAACACAACACAAGATTACCATTTGCCAAAAGAGAAATGTTACGATGTGCATCCTTAAAAAGGTGTATATAATATGCCTTCTATAACCTTCTGGCAAAATTACTCAAAAATTCCATTTGAAAAAATGTTGCTATATTTAGTCATAGAAGTTTTCTTTCAAAATTATGAAAAAATTAACACCATACCATAACCAACCCGCCCAAACATTAGGAAAAAATCACAACCAAAATAACACTCAAGGATAAACAAGTAAACTCCGCAATATACCATAAACAAAAGAACTAACTAGTTTGAAAGAAAACTTCCAGGATTAAATACATCAACATTTTCCCAAATGAAATTTTTGGGTAATTTTTCCTAAATTAATATATGAAGATATTATAGCAATAACTAAAGATGATAAAAATATGATCTTTTTGTTTCATAGCTAAAATGTGTGTTCTTTTTATTTTTTTTTAATTAGATGCAAAACTCACCAGTATGATAGTCGGGGCTCTAAATTTTGTTTAAGAAAAAAATACTCAAATAATTTTATTTCTTAAAGTACAAAAAGTCAAAATTTTCATCTTTATTAGACATTTTAAAATTTTATTTTTACTTTTTTTCATTTTTCTAGTCAAGTGGAATGTAAAAGTATAATAAACGATTTTTTTTATATACTAAAAATAAAAAAACCACTAAAAAAATAAATATGAAATACTCCCTTGGGTCTTGTTTGGTGCAGTTTATTATAGGTTAAAATTGATAATAAAAAGGTAAAATTTAGCTTTTAGATAATCAAAGTATTTAAACTATTTTCACCTAATAAAATATAAGTAAAAATTACACTAAACAATCTAACACAAACTTTTCAATTAAAATAAACCATCATTTACGGTGTAACAAACACTCCTTAGTCGGCTGAAATAAATAGGGTCGACCCAGCCAAAACCACGACATTATAAGAACATTAAATCCTCTTAAAGCAGCTTTCATGAGTTTTATTTTTATTTTTATTTTTTTGGAGTAGCTTTCATATGGTTAACATAATAATAATAATAATAATAATAAATATTTAATGAGAGAAATGGTTGGTCCATAAGACTTACCTTTAAGTTCACACAGGCTTATCAAAAACAACACAACACAAGATTACCATTTGATAAAAGGGAAATGTTACAATGTGCACCCTTAAAAAGGCGTACATAATATGCCTTCTATAACTTTCTGGAAAAATTACTCAAAAATTCCATTTGGAAAAATGTCGGCCAAGTTTGGGGACTTCAAAAAAAGTCAAAAAGCCAAAAAGTTACTCAAAAAGTTAAAAAGTTAACACTATTCACCAAAAGTCAACAATTACGGCTGCACAACTCCCAATTCAAATTTTTCCCTACAAATCAATTTTTACAATTTTTTATTACACATTTTTCAATAAAAAGTCAAAAAGTTAACCCAAACATCCATATTTTCAACCTCAATTTTTTAGTCCAAAAAGACAAAAAGTGCACTTTTTTAGTCTTCCCAAACTTGGCCTTAGTCTTGGAAGTTTTCTTTCAAAATTATGGAAAAATTAACACCATGCCACAACCAACCCAACCAAACATTAGTAAAAAAATCACAACCGAAATAACACTCAAGAGTAAACAAATAAACTCCGCAATATACCATAAATAAAAGGACTAATTGATTTGAAAGAAAACTTTCAGGATTAAATACAACAACATTTTCCCAAATGGAATTTTTGGATAATTTTTCCTAAATTAATATATGAAGATATTATAGCAATAACTAAAGATGATAAAAATATGATCTTTTTGTTTCATAGCTAAAATGTGTGTTCTTTTTATTTTTTTTTAATTAGATGCAAAACTCACCAGTATGATAGTCGGGGCTCTAAATTTTGTTTAAGAAAAAAATACTCAAATAATTTTATTTCTTAAAGTACAAAAAGTCAAAATTTTCATCTTTATTAGACATTTTAAAATTTTATTTTTACTTTTTTTCATTTTTCTAGTCAAGTGGAATGTAAAAGTATAATTTTTGTA